TACCGCTTTAGTTTCCCCGTGAATACAATCTGCCAATATTGTAGAGCGTATCGACTCGCCAAGCGGGAAATCCTTTGAGATATGAGATATCTTGAACGCAAACTCTGCTCAAGCAGGCTCGTTTATGCGTGTTCTGCCTGGCGCATGTCGCCTAATGCTCCACGACCGTTTGCGATGCCTGTCAACCGATCTCTCGCCACAACTGCAAACATGCATATATGGATTCCCACGAGTAGTCCTGTCGGAGGTACCGATGATAGACTCATGTCATACCGAGGTCCCTTGGCACTGCCACGCTTGCGGTTATGGAAGCCCACACGGTGGTTATTGGAACACCCTACGAGGTTTTAGTGGTGCTTGTCTTGAGCTATGTGTGCCGACTTCCGGATGACTCAGCGGATCGCTTGTTGCATCCACTTTCGCCCGCCGGGTGGTCGCGCGCTGACTCGGCGGGTGCACTGGCAGGTCACGGTCAGCGTTTAATTCGAATGCCGTTGGCATTGGCATTGGGCTGATCGTATTCCTGCTCTAGCCACAACACTAGCCACACAGCCAAGAGGAAAACGCACGATATTTCCTGCTGATGGTCACCTGCCAATGGGCCAAGCTACGTCAGGAGTGGCGCAAAATTGTCTGGGAGATGGGCCAAGTCAGGACTCCGTCTTGGTGAAACGTGGCTGAACAGGAGAATGTGTGCATGACGCCAAGCGAAGCCAGTCTCGCGATCGCTTCGAGGTGTGGCGCATGACGATGCATATGTCGTTGCGAGAAACCTTGCAAGGATGCTGTCCATGTGCTTAGCTTGCTGCTTGCGCCTGTACGTAAAAGCCAATGCAACCTCCAGGGCGAGGGGCCGATCACCGGTGACTCGTCCGTTGGGGCTGTCAGGTAACATCTCGAATCGAGGCGTAGCGTGATGGACTATCAGAATATGGATTTACCTGAGGCTCCTTGGCTCTCTAATGTGACGTTCACTGCAGATCCATGCAGCCTGTGTGATCGACAATTTAAGCATCACACCCGCAGTAGGACCGCAATCGAGATGCGTTTAGTGAACCACGATCAGCGCACCCTGCAATGTGTTGGTAATCGCGAAAGAAAATTCTGTGTTCTTGTCATGTCTACCAGCAACAAGCTTCGGGCTGAACACACCCGTCACTGGTACCAGCTTCAGATTCACCTGCATTAGCTTCATCCTGGTCGTGAATCCGACTTCGGCATCGAGACAGCCATGAGATCCATCATCGAAACGTTTTCCCCATGCCGTGACGTAGTGGGCGATCTGGCTCCGGTAAAAAGGTCGAGATCAAAACTACGGCTTGGTAGCACAGGCTAACGGATTAGCCTCCGGAATTCTGGGCTTTGATGTTCTTGGTCGAAGGGTGAGCATCCTCATGACGAAATGAGTATGATTGTCAAGATTGGCGTTCTTTGGAGCACCCGCAACAGCATGGCTAGCTCTGTCTGTATCCCTACTGGAAAGTGTATCGACGGCTTCACATAAGCGTAGGTTCGTCGAAATGCATGGCTGAGGATAGCGGTGTCTTGCCTGTCCTCCGTCCGATGCACAGTCGGAGCGAATGACGAGATTGTGACAGATGTTGAAACTAATGGAGGATGCCGAAAGTAGTGAATGGGTTACCGGATTAGTTGGATAGCCCGATACTACCAGCCATTAGCGTCAGGCAACTATACATTGCCAAGATCTCTGTGTTGTAAATCGAGCAAGTATACTACGGACGCGAGAGGCGAAAGACATAGTAGCCGTCGATTCCACAAACCTTAAGAAGACCGGGATGTACCGACTTTGGTACAAGCAGTCTGCGTCAACTAAGAGCCGTTAGCATCCGTTCAAGAGCCGTGATAGAGAATCTAGACCTACGGGCCGAGGCTACCCAATGCGTATGACCATTGCGTGTGCAATACAATGGTGCCAACGACGAATGCATCCGCTTGCAAGTTGGGATATGCGCTTCGAGCATCATCAGCACAAGCGACGAGGCAGGGTGCAGCTATCGTCCCAAAGAAATTGCCGGGCGAGATGATGATGGCTGGCGAGATGGATAAACGCGTTACGACAACGTGGGTCGTGGTTGTTCTTGCAGACGCTTCTGCTTACCAGGACTGATGATGCGCGTGGCAGAGCTGGGAGGCGTGCCTGCCTAGCATGAGCCAGATGGGGCGCAAAATTCATTTTGCAGCTCAGTCTGGCAGGAGCGAGAGCGTACGCTATCGTGACCTTCTTCGATTAACAGTATTACCTACAGGCCGTTCCCTCCAGCCCGACAAGTATTGCGATGTATACCTTAGTACGGTTCAAAGACAGAGACGAATACATTTGTGAGCCGCGATGTTCAAAGGCATCAGATACACAACATCGTCGCGCTCTGGCTCTCGCTCACCCTGGCCTATCTTTAACCAGAGCTGGTCATCGCAAAAGCGCTTACATCGTTGCTGTTCGATATATTGAAGACAGACACATGCTGAATATCGATAGAGACATACGCATCTGAGTAGAGTATCGGATCAGAACGACGGTGAGTGCTGGTCCTTGGTTTGGACTTAGAGTACTCGCAGCTTGCAGGTCGGCAGTTTATCCAGATATTGAGGTCAGTTTGGATTGACATGGTCGCAGCGGTAGCAGCATCAGCAGCTCAGACTGGCGTAAAGGACTGTCGCAAAGAAGCACGTGGAGTCGTGCGTTCAACGTGTAGCCTAACCACGCCGCAGAGATCGTTCAGCAATCCATCCCTCACAAGATCACACAGGCCAAATCTGAACTGTCATTTCTTTCGCAGTCGAAGCCGTTCAATTAACCTCAACGACCCTGGAACGCGCGCGTCTGATATGACGGGACGAGCAGGCGGTCCGCCAAATGCTGCGACAGTTCGCCGCAGCGACATGCGTGCATTGTATCCGGACTGCTAACTCACAGGCGAGCGACAAGACGTGCGTTGGTTGTTGGCGTTGGCTGTCACGCAGACATTGGTGATGGGCAAGCTCACCTCGTTGGAGATGAAGTCACGCTAATGGGTCCGTGCACCACAAACTCGAATATTCAGTTCGCTTAGTCGAGCCACCTGGAATTCGCATCCATCGAGCTCTCCATCACGACAACTAACCTCACAGCACACCGGAGTCGAGCAAAATGTCGACATTCGAACCCGTCATTGTACGTACGCCCCGATAGACGCAGCCCGATATCCCAGGCACTGGCCTTCGCATGCCGCCGCGATGCCAGCCTGCAATCCCGTCAACACTACGCATCTTCCTTGGACGTCTCGCTGACAGCGCACGCAGGTCATCGACGGCAAGGGCCACTTGCTCGGTCGCCTCGCCAGCACCGTCGCCAAGCAGCTCCTCAACGGCCAGAAGATCGTTGTTGTGCGATGCGAGGCCCTCAACATCTCCGGCGAGTTCTTCCGCGCCAAGTGTACGTACACCCACCGACCGAGCGAGCGAGATCAGGAGCAAGCCATGGAGTGCAATTGGTACACGGGGCTACAAGAGGATGATGTGGTCGGCGATGTGCACTTTAGCTACTTTTTAGCGGAGCGCTCTAGGGACAATTTTCTGGCAAGACAACAACTGACATGACCCTACAGTGAAGTACTCTGCTTTCCTGCGCAAGCAGACCCGTTACAACCCCACTCGTGGTGGTACGTCTCCCCGTCCATACACGGCGCATTCACGGTCCAACGTCGAATGTGCGCGTTACTAGCCGACATGTGCTGACCCATCTGCCAGGTCCCTTCCACTTCCGCGCTCCCTCCAAGATGTTCTGGCGAACCGTCCGCGGTATGATTCCTCACAAGACTCCCCGCGGTAAGGCCGCCATGGAGCGCTTGAAGACCTTCGAGGGTGTCCCCGCTCCCTACGACAAGAAGAAGCGCGTCGTCGTTCCCCAGGCCCTGAGGGTGCTGAGGCTCAAGCCCGGACGCAAGTACTGCACTGTCGGCCGTCTCGGACACGAGTTCGGCTGGAAGTACCAGGACGTCGTTGCCCGGTATGTTGCTCCAATTCCTGCATGCGAGATCAGAAATGCTAATCCATACGCAGTCTTGAGGAGCGCAGGAAGGTCAAGGGTGCCGCATACTACGAGCGCAAGAAGGCTATCCGCCGGCAGATGGCTGAGGCCAAGAAGACGGCCTCCGTCGACTCCAAGGTCCAGCAAGAGCTCACATCCCTCGCATACTAGAAATCGGCAGTCGATGAACAGTGTCGGTTTCAGTTTCGGTGACGTGGTTCGGCGTGGATTGCATTGGGCTCATGGGATGTTTATTTCCTCTACTATACTCCGACCATTCGAAAGGGTGTCCAGGCTAAAAGAGCACATCAATACCAGGGTGCTTACGTGTTCATGGGTCTCTTCGCGGTCGGTCTGCTGTGTCTTCAGGTACTCTTCCGGCTAGAAGCAATACGAAATGAAAAATCCCAGCTGATGTAAAGCATGGTGACGGCGTTGAGCATTCAGCAATAGACTTGTGGTTATGTTAATTCACTCACGATTCCCTTTATGCTTTGCATCCACCCTGCCGTGACGAAATGGACAGGTACCTTGCATAACAGCCTCGTAGTCCAATGTGTCTGCTATCCGACGCGGTCGGGAGGATAGGGTATGCCTACTGGCGCTTAACCTCGGCTGTGACGTCGTGCCGCACCGGAACCGGTACCCTTCCCCAGATTTCCCCATGGCTGGGAGCTTCAGGGTCGGCTGTCAGTCATTGCGCCCTGTAAGAAACGTATTAGAACACGTTGTTCAGAGTATCGCGACATTCTTCTTTCCGCTGTCGCACACCCCTGTCAAAAATCGCGTCCTGCAGCCCTCTCATCGCTCAAGACCTCGGACATCTCTCGCATCTCGTCCCACAGCGGAGCTACTCCGCACTCTGGCGTCTGTAGCTTCAGCTCAGCTGGGCCAAACTGTAGATCAATATTTCCGTCGCGTACATATAAGTTGCTGTTAGAACGTTGATTCACCAGATCCTTGTGCAGATACAATGGAAGGTGCTAAAGATCGTCTCAAGCAACTCGCGTCGCATTTCACGTCCGCCAACCCTGTCCCTGGGCCACCGCCCATCCATCCCGGCGACAGCCACGAATACCATCATCGACACAACTTCCACACCCTCAGCCCAACATGGTTCCTCTGGCGCGCGGCGCAAATCGAGCCAGACGCCATGGCAATATACCACAAGACGGCGAACGGCAAGATCCTACGGCGCTCTTACGCTGAAGCTGCGGACCGCGCACGAGGGCTGGCATACTACCTGAGGAAACACGGGTATAAGAAAGTCGGCATATTGGCGACGAACACACCAGCATTCCTGGAGAGCACATTCGGTATCGCGGCGGCTGGAGGTGTGAATGTCGCTATCAACTACCGGTTGAAGCATGATGACATCAGTTACATCTTCCAGCACTCGGACGTGGACATGATCATTGCGGATGCCGAGTTTGTGGGCTTATTGGACGAATACAAGAAGGAAAGACCAAACGTACCCATACTGATTGACACAGACACGGATGCGACAGAAGGTGAACTCTCGGGCCCTTTCGACGATGCAGTACTCGAGGGATTGAAGTACGATATTGAGCAAGGAGGCAAGGGCTGGGCAGATCTGGAGTCGCAGGCGAAGGACGAAGAAGACGTCATGGCACTCGCATACACCAGCGGAACAACAGCACGGCCGAAGGGGGTCGAATACACACATCGCGGCGTCTACCTTGCTGCCATGGGCAATGTCATCGAGTCTGGGCTGAACTATCATACAGGCCGCGCAAAGTATCTCTGGACTCTGCCAATGTTCCACGCGACGGGCTGGACATTCCCGTGGTCAGTTACCGCCGTCCGAGGAACGCACTATTGCCTCCGCAAGATCGACTACGCAGAGATCTGGCGCCTGCTCAAGGAGGAAGGCATCACGCATTTCAACGCCGCACCAACCGTCAACACCTTACTCTGCGCAGCGAAGGAAGCAGAGCGCCTACCCCAGCCAGTCAGAGTCACCGTAGCCGCAAGCCCACCGAGCGCATGGCTCTTCGAACAGATGTCCAACTTGAACCTACACCCCGTCCACGTCTACGGTCTTACGGAAACGTACGGTCCGATCACGAAAGGCTACCACATGCCCGAATGGGAAACGCTCCCCGAGAAGACGAAATACGATCGTATGGCACGACAAGGCCACGGCTTTATCATGGGCAAAGCGACGCGAGTCATCAAGACTGAGCAGCCGGAAGGTGTCCTCACTGACGTGGAAAGAAACGGCAAAGAGATTGGGGAAGTCATCTTCGAAGGCAACATCTGCGCAAAGGGCTACTACAAAGATGCCGAAGCGACGCGCAAGTTGTGGGAGGGCGGCTGGTTGCATACAGGCGACCTAGCTGTTTGGCATCCAGATGGAGCAATCCAGATTTTGGATCGTGCGAAGGATATCATCATCAGTGGTATGTTGTTGACTTTCCGAACCTCACTCTTTTGAAGCGACTTGCTAACCGAATGGCTCACAGGCGGCGAGAACATCTCCAGCGTAGCGCTCGAAGCTATGCTTTCCACGCACCCCTCCATCCTCGAAGTCGGCGTCTGCGCCGTGCCGGACTCACACTGGGGCGAGCGGCCCAAGGCTTTTGTTACCACAAAGGACGGCACAAACAGCGACACATTGGGTGGAGAGGTGATTCAGTGGGCCAAAGAGAACAGCAACATCAGTCGCTTCATGGTGCCCAGGGAGGTTGTGGTTGTCAAGGAGTTGCCTAAGACGAGCACAGGGAAAATACAGAAGAATGTCCTTAGGGAGTGGGCGAGGAAGGGCAGTGTAGAGTAGCTGTGCTCATGGAAAACGTATCATACCTCCTCCATGGGGCCTCTCAGTCACAAACACAGATGCGGAGTCATGTGTCTGCACCACGCGTGAAGTCTGAGCACATGGTGAAGCAGCGTGGTAAGGGAAGCAATCGATGCTGCTTCTCCATTGAAAAGGAACTCAATGAGCCTGGGGTTCTGACTCAGAAGTCAACTGCTCTTAATCAATCCATCATGTTTTCACCTGACGGAGCTTTCATCAACACGAGCGAGATACTCAGCGATGCCGAGGCTCAAGCCATCCACAACAGAGTTCAGGACCAGGTTGCCGCTAAGAATGTTGCTGACGGACGTGTGGGAAAGTTTAAAGGCGATCCTCGATTCGCAGCAGCTAAAGCATATGCCGATTCAGAAGTTCCCAAGCAACTGCGCGCGGCTATTTCACGAGCTGAAGCTAATGCTAGAGCCGGACGGGGAGATGAGGATGCAGGTAAATATCCCTCGCTATTCTGCTTAATGCTGATCAGCTGACGCATTGAACGATTCTGATGCATCTGCAACACAGCTACTGGAACAGTACAAAGGTTTTGTCCTCTCCAAGCTGCCTGTATCAGAGGAAGTTCAGAGCCAGATACGCGGGCTGTTTCAAAAGTACGGTTGGCCAACAGTCTGGCAGTCTCTTGACTCAATCAAGGGCTGCGAAGGCGGGCTGAACTGGGGGTGGCAGGCCGTGGATGATCAGCTACTCTTGACGCTGAGGAGGAGGGAATTGCTGAAGATTGAGGATTTGGCTGAGTGCATCTTCATTGGTATGAGGGCTAGTCAGTGTCTTGCGCAGTATAAAGCTCTGGATAAAGCTCGGCCAAGGGGGCGGGATGGAGGCGAGCTCGAGGGTGAGATTCAGGAATAGCGCACATAGAGTCCGCATGATTTCTATCTGGGACGCTCCAATGTAGGGCAATGGATCAGTTCATCTCGATTCAATAAATTCCATAACAATAGGATGATGTGACCTGAAGTTTTGGCCGCTGGCGCTTACTAACTGTGTTTGTAGCATCGCCATAAGTTCTGAAATAGCAAGAGACTGAAGTGATCAGAATTTACTGAATATCGGAGGCTATGTTGAGGATTGTCGGAAATATCGCCTACGATGTCGCGTGCTCTGTCAAACGAAAGGGTAGACGACAAGTTACGTCCTGCGTCGATGCCAATCAAGGGCCACAATGGTAGCTAGTGACAAGAGTGACCCCGTCCCACAGACCTATATCGCATCTAATCGGCTTGCTAGCAAACAGAAAGTGTTATATAACAATTGCAAGTCAAATCCTGTGTCATTCCTAATGGCACCAACCATGGCTTCCGCACCATCTAATGCAGATGTTCCCGCGCCAGACCCAAGTATGACGCCTACACCGCGACTAACTGATAACCAAGCGCTGAACGACATCGAGGAAATCCGGGATCTGGTCGCACGACGCAACCGAGCGCTCGACTCGTTAGACCTTGATCAACTCGAGAGAGATGGGTTACATACGGATTTGAGTGAGATAGGTTGGCCGGTATCTCTTTGCAAAGGTGGCTCACAGACAGCGAGGCCGAAGAATGAGTCGTTCGATGTCCGCGACCTCTATGCGCTACTCTGTATCATACGGCACATGATGATGCGGCACAGCGATGTTGTGACCGGCGACTTGCGTCTCTTCTTTGAGAATCAGAACAGCAAAAGGTTTGCCAATAAGTGGAGCAACATGCAACGAACATGCAGCAAACATTGGAACGAAGCAGATGACAAGGACCTGATACAGCTGTACGAGGGCGTCAACAAGACTTTCAAGGATATTGCTCGAGAGAACTTCGCAGAGTTTCGAGAAGCCGTGAGGAGCTTTTCGGAACCGGATATGCAGATCGAGATCGCGTATCTGATTGCGAAGAAAAGGGAAGTGAAAGAATCCGACGATGACGCAGGTAATAGTGCTGGTGACGGAGACTAGGACGCCAGGGGAGAACAATCCTGTGTTGCCGTCCTGATTGAAAGATTACACGGAGCTATAGTCAGCAGAGATACATGTTCGAGGTAGCCTCTTGTTATCGGGAGGTGATGTCGGCGGGAGTGTGAGAGATGGATACTGGCACGTAGCTTCCAATTCCACGATCGCTAAGATTTTAGCGCGAGCTGCTGACCCAACTGGACGTGTGACTTCCGTAAATTCCCATAAGCTTGGAAGGGCGTTGATCTCCAGACAACTGAGCTGAATCACACCAAGCTGTTGCATCGACGCCTTCATCGCAACATGACCCTTCTTGTCACCACAAGCGTTCACATCACCCACCCGTGAATCCCCACGAACACCACATCGAACCAAGCCTGCGCCGCCATGAACACTACTGCCCAATTCGGTGTCTCAAGCCCTCCACACCACATCTTGTATGCCTGCCAGATCGCCACATGAGCCGCTGCGAGCACCGCCTTCCCAGCAATCGCAACACCGATAGTGATCTTGCGCTTGAGAGCCGAGCCGCTTTCTTTGTCATGCGCGATGAACACGAGATAGGCGATCCAGAAGCATGTTGATACTACGAGAGAAATGGATGCGAAATACGGAAGGAGGGGCGCAGTGCCGATGTGTGGGGTGTGAGGCTGCGTGAGACGTCAATAGAGGACTATTCAATCGGTTTGATTACTTACAGGATCCGCTTTTGTACCACTGCTTCGACTTGCCCAGATAGTCGCAAAGATGGCGCTGACACAGGAGACAAACACGAAGAGAGTATTCATCAGCGCGCGAGCGGCATTGGTGTGCTTTGCAACAAGACGGTATTCGCTTGAGCGGGGGCGCTGGGTGGCTGCGCCGTAGGAAGGCAGGAGAGGTTCTTGTGACATGGTTTGGAGTGTGTACTGCGTATGTCTTGATACTTGCTGCTAATAGAGAGAGTGCGCGGTTTGTGTTGGAGCTCTCAAAGAGGAAGTGGGGTAAATGGGGCGTGGTGGTACAGATGAGTAAGGCTCAGCTTGACTGCTGTCCGAGCTCATGAATTGAAGCTCGTCTAAGAAAAACGGTATTCTCTATCAACTGCACAAGGATCGTCTATCGCTTTATGAAGTCAAATTATCCTCTAGTACTCTCAAAAATATGTGCCCCAACTCACGAAATCTATCGTTTCCTCTTCTCCTCCTCCAACTTCTTAGCCGCAGCCTTCTTCGCCTTCTCCCTCCTCCCAACTGCTGCCTCCGCACCAATACCACCAAACACCAGTCCAACACCTAGCCACTGCATGCCAGTAATCTCATGACCGAACCACCACACACTCCAAACCATGGTCAGCATCTTCCTCGTAACCGTCACTGTAACAAGCAGCAACGAGCTAAAGTGGGCCAGGGTGTGGAAAATGAAGACCTGACCTATAGCGCCACAGGCGGAGAACATGAGGACGTCCCAGCCGACAGCGGGGTATGTGGTTATAAACGAGAGCGCGTCGGAGAGTTCACCGGATGAGGAGCGTGGGTCAAGGCCGATCCAGCCAGCGAGGGGAGTGGAGGCAAGAAGAGGTGTGATGAGGAGGTAGGATACTGTCAGTGCTGTTGACATGATGTTCTGGGCGCACATCATCTGGGGTCCGGTGAAACCTTTAAAACTGCTGAAGATGTGATCTTGAACCGTGTTCGTAAGACCGTCGAAGAGGAGATTCACGCCGAGCAGTATTAGACCAATAGTTTGCGAGGCGTCTGCGCTTACACCCTTCTTCGCGGCCTTCTTCGCTGTGGACGGGCTGTGTAGTGTAAAGACCGCGACACCGAGGGTTACGAAACCGACGACGGCGTACTTGTACATGGGGTATCGCTTCTGGAAGAGTGAGATGTGGAGGAACATGACCGGGAGCAGTTTGCAGCTCTTGGCTAGGATGAAGGTGACGTAGTCAATGTGCTTGAGACTTGCGTATCCGAAGGGGGACGCAAGCGACGATGTGACGGCGATTCCAAGGAGCGGCATGAGTATGTCCTTCGAGGGGAAGATGGGTAGCACCTTGCGCACGCCGGTCTTGGGGTCTTTCTTCGCGGACAGGTTGAGGTAGAGGAGGCCGGTGATGGCAGCGAAGGCGGATTGGACGGTGTTGAGGAAGATGGAGTACGTGAAGCGCTGGTTGCTGGGGCCGTGGGTGGTGGTTGTCAATCGCTCTTGGATCCATGCCCAGGTCATACTATCCTGTGTTAGCTATGTTCCCAATGTACTGTTGTACATTGTGACCGCCTCATACACGAAAAAAGCTGAACAGGTCTGCAGCCTACATGGACATAAAAACGTACAAAGTAGGCGACATGACATCAACGTAGGCTCCAGGGTGACTTACAAACTTCCATATATACCAGCGACACAGATTACCAGCTGGAAGAGCCCTGCTTCCTTTTGCTCCTGAGGGTTCCGCGCATGGAGCTCTGCTTGCTCTTCCAGCTTCTGCTCGATCGAATGCGCCGCGCGGCCCGCGCCGTCCAATTGGTGGGCGCCACCCAGTTGGTGCACATCTCCCTTCGCGTTTCCATTCGTCTCGTTGGCCTTGCGACGAGAAGCTTCCGCCATTGTATGTGCTGTATCGTGGGTATCGCTAGTGACGTCGTGGGTGTTGATTGAGGAAGGCGCGCGCCGCGTTCGTGTTGTAGCGTGTCGCGCTGTGTGTAAAGAAGTGGATTGCGCGATGATGATGCGCGAAGGATACAAAGAAACAATGTTTCTTGGGCGACTGTGGGTCAGTGGAAAGTGTACACCTGGCTTCAGGTTTAGATTACACCTGCGCCATAGGCAGTTCCTAAGCTTCAACCGTGGCATCAGTGGCCGGGCCGGGGCTAAGACGGAGTTAGAAGCGAGCACGGGCCGTGTTTGAGCCTCAGGGATCGACTCGACCGGGGCGCGCCACCCACTCGCTAGTGTGTGGAGCGCCGCTTCACTGCGAGCTGGAGGAGCACACACACGATGCAAAGGGCGCGAATCTGCCGACTGAGTTCTCATGAGATTGTGTCATTTATTGTGGGAGAAGGTATCTACGCATAGTCTGGAAAAGGCATCAAAGCCTTCTCCGCGCTTACCGCTCCAGCCGTTCATAAGGTCGTGAAAATATGCTCGCTAAAAAAGAAGATCCAAGGCCAAACGCCAGCAGATGCAGCCCCCACTCTGTTCCGGGGCCCAGAATGCAAGCTCACGCCTCACCTCTGACAATCTTCGAAACAGCGCTCTTGACCAGCACCCACATTGGCCCAGCGTTGACTTCCTTGCCGCCGCCCTCCTCCATCCCGCATTTCCTCTTCCACGCATCTCTCCACCCTCGCTCCGTATCCTTTTGCTTGAGCCTCATCAGCTGCCCCGCTCGCTTTCCTTGCCTTCTGTACCCCGCCATGAATGCGTCCCATTCTTTCCTCTCCTTGACGAAGACGACTACTCCGTTTCCTGCATCGATAGGCTGGCTGCCTCTAGATAGAATCCGCGCTTCCCACGCGCTGCCCATGGATTGAAACGTAAAGTTTGCGCTATGCAAGACGTAGTAGCGCTTCCGCTTGCCGAACTTTGACGCAGCGTTGGAGGAGGGCGTGATCCAGTGTGTTGCGCGTGAGTAGATGCCGTCTGCCAGTGCTTCGTGGAGAAGCTCTGAAGGGATGTACTGGCGGCACTGAAGAAGCAACTTGTTACGGAGCAGACTGATGTCGATGTCTGGGTGGGCGGTAGGTATTTGTGGCGAATGAGACAACAGTGCTTTGGTCTGCGTACGCGTTGATCGCGCTGGTGGCTTCGATATGCGTCCTGATGCTCGAATGACAGTGACTGGGTTGCTGAATTGGTGAGGGGTAATCGTCTGCGTTTGGATGGGCGCCATGATAGTCGTGGTGCTCAGTTGAGAGTGGCGTGTGCTTTGTAGGCGGTGTCAAGTCTCTTAGGCTTCAAACCGTGAATCCGTATGGTGTCGTCTGGTAGGGGAGTTGCGGATGGAGTAAGGAATATTGTGGAGGAGCAGAAGCGAGGCAGAGAGGGAACATGCGGTCAAGAAATCATCTTTAACCATCATGCACCCCTTCCTAGAAGAGCTAGCTCCTGAAAAGAAACAGCTACTACCCAGCCTTCGGAAATCAGTCGGGGTGCCAAATCTGTCTCTGCCCTAGTCTACCGCCTGCCCGCGTCTGGCGTCTGGGCGATCCTGGAAGGATTAGCGAGGCACACGAAGCCTGCCTGCCGAACCTCACCGTGGGCGAGCATCCCGCGCCTGCAGCGTTTGTCGTTCGAGCTTGTGCTGCCCCAAGGACTTCTTGGACGGAACACCTTCCTTTCACTGCTGAACACTCTGTGGAAAGCTCAGTTGTTGTGGCGAAGACATCGTGCTCAGGTGCTCAGCGTCCGAGCGTGACACTAATGACGTATTCCCGATTGGAGGGTCCAACGGTTCGGAACATCTGGGCAGCCTCGTTCTGCACGTGCAATACTGCACTCATTTCCCCTTGGGCAGCACCATCATCAAACGTTCGCAAGTACCACATCACGTTACGAGTAGTTCGCAGTCTAGACACTATCATCATAGAATTCTAAATATTGGTAGTAGATGTTGTTTGTTTGTATCGGAGTGTCGGTAGGGGAGCAAGGGAGAGGGAAGGGTTTCGGGTAAGGAGTGAGGGAGTGATTAGGAAGGTACATCGGAGTGTCGGAGTAGAGCTCGGGACGTGGTGAGAAGCTTCTCACTTCTTCCCAACTCTTCTTCGCCAAGAAAACCCAAAGATGGATGTCAGAGCTGCTACCCTTGAGCAGATGTACTATCCGGATATCAAAGGCCATAACGTCATGACATTCGTGAGCCGCTCAGCGTGCACTCAGTTCTCTCTCGACAATAGTAAGAAAAGTAAATAATGCTCCAGACAATCCGTGGTATCCATCAGTAACAGCAAGTAAGAAATTCAGCAATTCCATGCTTTTGTTGTCGGTTTTCGTGGTCTCCGTTTCGGGAGACATGAATGCAGATG